AAATGCACTATCTCCATTTCCTCCTGGAGCAAGAGAGACTTCTGGGTCTCACGCGTCTCACATTCATGCGCAGCAATTGCTGCAGACATCAGTCCGGTAAGCTAGTGATAATGGCTAACAGATTTACTCCTGGCTTAGCCTAGTAGCAAAGGGTGCTTGAGCACTTACTGTATGCCGAGCACCGACACTGATTTTCCTTATGCAACAATCTGGTCTTCGCTGTGTGATTAGGAAGTGCGCCTTATCATGAACACCATTTGCCAGTGGAGACTTTTGGGCTCGGGGAGCTGAACGTTCACAGGTGACACTCAGGAAATGACTGTGCAGGTGAGGCCGGGCAGCACACTGTCGCGTCTGGGTGTTTTCCTGTCACAGCATCCTGCATCCCTCATTCCAGCCACCGAAGGCACCTGCAGCTGGAGAGCAGAGCCTCGCAAAGCGCAGCTTTGAGCGCAAGGGATGACTCTGCACTAGTGACCTTATAGCCTCCGGCTAGGACAGCAATTTTGATGGATGAAGGAGTCACTTTAGCACTTTTCCACATGTTCCAAATACATACGCTTTCTCTGCTCCTCAGCTAGTCTTGGTTTCCCAGCAATCAGGTCTAAGCTGAGTTCTTACAGTAAATCAAATAATACCTTAGGTTTCTTAGGTTTCAAGGGATTTGCATATTCTTGAAGAAATGATAGCCATTATCGAAAAAGGTTTCATCTCCACAGTACCTGGTCAGTAGCGGCTTCTGGGCCAGCTCTTCACCTTTCCAGCCCCATTTCTACAGACCCTGACTTTGTAAATGTCCAGGTTAGGTGTGATGCAGAAATTACTTCAGGAAAGTGTTTTCTCGAAAACCTTACAGGAAACTATGAGTCCATAGAATGCTCTCCACTGTCTCAAAGCTGAAGAGACTTAAACCCTTTGGGAAGAATCATCTATTGGAGCAGCACCACACATGAATTTCTTTGAGCTAGAACTCAACTATATTTTTCCTGAAAAAAGAAAAAGGAGGTGATGAGGTGTCTCCGTTGCTATCTCATTGCTTGGAGAAAATATCCAACACTCACAAATTAATGTAAGAAAGGTTTATTTTGGCTCACAGTTTGTTGAGGTTTTAGACCTGGGGTGGATCGCCAACCTGTGGTCAACTTGTAATGCCCAGCTGCACTGAACTAATGTGCTGCTGGGTGTGGGAGGCCCACCTGAGGATCACTGCCAGCAGCACAAGAGGCAGAACTGGAGAAACTATTGAGAGGCTGTTACGGAGGCTGTTCGGAGAAGCTGGTGGAGCTGGTGGAAGCTGCTGGTTCTCTTGAGCTATTCTGCTGGAGGACCTTATCATTCTGGCTTTCCTGATGAAGTTGGCTGTTACCATAGGAGGAGCTTGGGACCTTATTGCGGACCTTCGGTTCACTTTGGGAGAGCTCTCTGGTCCTCACCTTGAGCATCGCCTCCTGGCTCCAGAGGGGAAGATGGTGCACTGCTCAGTGTGCTGGAGGAGCTGTCACATTGACTTTCCTGATGGGAAGTTGGCTCCTCATCATTGGAGAAGCTTGCGACCTCACTGTAGCTGAGGATGACGATGGTACCTTTTGAGGGAGCTCCAGTTCTTTCTTTGAGCATCACTTTCTGGCTCCAGTGCAGGTCCCTCAGTCTACTAGTAGAGATCATTCATGCCACTGGCACAGACTTTGTAGCTTCTACCACTGGTTTTTGGGCCTTCCCACTGCAGGCCTGTGAAACAGGACTGCATGAGACATTGTCATGAGCTCTAGGCCTCCAGGTGGACTTATAGGAGCATGGTTACAAGCTCTAGGTCTTCAGCTGGCCTCATGCAGGACATTAGTATGGGATCCAGTCTCTCAGCTAGATTCTTTGGTCTTTAGTGTGTGGACAGATTTCTTGTACTCTGTGTTTGTATATGATTTTTTGGGGTAAATAATCCCATAAGATATGTGTCCTATATTGTATTGTTTCCCTTGCAAAACCCCAAACCACAACAAGCCCATAGTCAGTTGGTTCCAAAGCAGAATGGCACAGGAGAGGGGTATGGAGGAGGAGATAGAGGTGATGGAATGGGAACAGGAATCAGAGAGAGGGATCAGGAGAGGAGGAGGAGGGGGAGGGTCACAGACCCTGCCAGGTCATGACCTCAGTGACCTCGCTCCTCCATCCAGGCCTTATTTTCCCAAATCTCACTTAGTCACAACTCCTCCCTAATGTACTGCTGAGTGTCACACCCCCACGATCCAGTGAGCTCACTGAAGCCCCACCTATGAGCACATGAGTCTTACGCTGGAAATAGCAAAGACGCTGTCCCACCTTACTCATAAGCAGGAAGAGTCTGTCTTCCTCCAGATCCCTGCCACTTCTTCTGAGGCACTTCTGCTTTTCCTTTTGTGGTCTGGCTCTTCCTATAAAGTGCTCAGAGCTTTGTGTCTTGGTATTTCTTTACCCTTCCTCCCCAACAAATTGCACCCATCAGGAGACTCTTGCTTCATGGACCTGAGTCACACCTACCTGGAAGCCAGCCTGTGAAACAGCTGGGTGAGTTCCTGCTGACTGCAGACTGTCTGCAGATGTGACCTCTCAGCTTTCCAGGTGGGCTTGCCTTCCAGACCCAAATCCCTTAGCTGAAACAACCATTCTGACCAACCTGGGAACTTGCAGCACTGGAGCCATCAGTTAAGAAGAGACTTTAGATTAAGGGACCACTGGGCACTGTTCCAGTTCTCAGTGTCCATCTGTCTATATAAATAACTCTAGGCTGGGGTCATAAGGAATACTTACTGGACATTTTTTTCTGCTTAAGGCAGGTGGGGAAGAGACAGGGAGGCGGCACCGGAGTGTCCATCCTTCTAGGAACAGTTATGATAGTTTGCCAAGCTTTCCAGAATCGGATCCCTGTTGTCCCTACAGCTTCACACTTTCACTCTGGACATCATGTCCACCCACCTTCAGTGGCCCTCTCCCCCTCTCTTCCACTTCATATTTGGACAAGTTATTTGTCACAGTCAGCGGCCTCTGCATGGCAGGCCCCTCCCTCAGAGCAAGGGACACGTTGTTCACATAACAGTGTCTCCGCAGTGTCTGCCACTTAGTTGACACCAGATATTTGTGGTGACAGGAAGGAAGAAAGGAGGGGCGAGGACAGCAGGGAGGGAGGAAGGGACTTTTTCTGCTAGCTTTAGGACCTGATCCTCGCTCTGCGTTTTTCTCTTCTTCATGCATCCCTTGGCTTGGTTTCGTGTCACGGGTAGTGGGGAGGGTGCATGTGACCCCAGGCCTATAAATAAGTGCGATTTAATGTGCTCGTGCTTCGACAGACACTGACGAGGACACCGGCCCCCGGAGAGTCCCAGGATCCGGGATGTGAAACCGCTGCTGCTCCCCTCTGCAGTTGGCGCTTGGTGCGGTGGCTGAGGGCCCCGGCTGCGAGCTGGGCTTTCTTCCAGGACCTCAGTTGCCTCCGAGTGTGGACACGTGGTCTGTGGCAGAGTGGCGGGCAGGGCTCCTGCGACTGCAGACGCCTTGTTTCCGTGTCCCCAAGCAGACATGGTACTCGCGCTCCGCTGTAAACCCGGCTACCGGTCCGTCCCATCCACTCTTCTTGGTTAACCAGAGTCGCTCCGTAATGCTTTGCTCAGAGAGAATTAAATAAGGAGGAATTCAGAGCCAAGATGAAGATTTGGAGCTGGGAGTAGGTGATCCTTCACCCTCGGTGACAGTAACGTCTTCCCTCTCTTCCAGATGTTGGAAGCTCTGCTCTTAAATCACCCTGGCATTTTTATTCAATGCTTGGAGGCACATACGATTATTAATTCCATAGAAGAGGAAACCAAAACCTCAGGTTAAGGCCCCACCCAAGTTGCCACACGTAGTGGCAGATCTTGAACTCAGACTTGAGTCTTTCAGACTCCAAAGCCCTGTTCAATTCACTCCAACACTACCTCATGAGGAACTGTAGCCACAGCCTAGAGTAATCGGGTTCCTTCTTCCCCAAAACACTAAATTTAATAAATAATAAGATGCGCTTCAGAAAGTCTCTGAGATGGGGGTACTACAGCCCGGCATATTTATTTAATAAACACCTTGCTTTTTGGTGAGCTTGACTGACTCCGTAGCGTCTCTTGCTCCCAAACAAGAAGGGCGTGGCCACACCTGTCCGGCCGCACCTGCCGGGCCCCACCTGCCCGGCCCCACCTGCCCAGCCCCACCTGCTCCATCACACTTTACTGCCACAACCTTTGGCAGCCTGGCTGAGCAGCTCTGGAGCGAAGAGCGCAGCCTACACAACCGCAGGCGCCGCTGCAAGGGCAGATCCGGGCCGTAAGACCTTTCCCTCTCCACAGGTGGGGAAGCGGACTGTCTGTCCACTCGCTGGAAATTCCCCTTCTGTTTCCCTGGTGGGGGGTGGGGCTGACCTGAGCCTTCAGGTTAACACAGTGTGAAAGAGGAACTATGACACGGGACAACAGAACAGGACACGTTGCTGATGAGCTTATTGGATCGGCACACCTTCATGCGCACACCAGAGACAGAGACAAGACTTTGAACCCAGGGCTGAGTTGTTACAAGGACAGGTGAGATGCTAATTATGTACTCTCAGAGCGAAACGCGTGGACACGCAGCACTGGGAAGTGCAGCAGGACTGCGCTCGCCCCAGAGTCGGGGTGTGGGCTGCGAGGCCTCCGAGGACGCATTCCCAGCCCCCAGATTTCCTCTCGCCCAGAACTGATCAGCCAGAGAATCTGCATTTGACAGGACTACAGTGTTTTCTTTTCAAAAATAAAAGTATCTCACACTATGATAAAAATCTGCAGAACGATTGAAATGTGAACCCAAAGTAAAAACGAAAAATAATATAATACTCCCAATTCTCAAAGAAAAGTTTGTGGCTGTACATTCGTCATTCTCTTTTTAAGAAATTCATGAATATGCAATAATTGTACATTTTTATTTGGTACAGTGTGATACTTTAGTACATGAACAGTATGCGCTGATAAAAATCAGGTAATTAACATTTCCATCTCCCTATCATAATTTGTTTTATATTTAAAAATATTTTATTATTATATGTTACAATACATAATAATGATATTCATCTTGGCTGATTAGTCCATACATATGTAGTCCAGGCCGGGGAGATGGCTCAGTAGAATAAGCGCTTGCCTGGCAAGCGCAGGGTCCTGAGTTCAATTCCTGGTACGGCAAAAAAATTAATTAATTAATTAATTAAATAAATAAAAATATATGCAATTCAGGCTGATCTTGAACTCACTATGTCTTTCTTTTTTTTCTTTTTTTTTTTTTTTTTTTTGGTGGTGGTGGTGGTACCAAGGATCGAACTCAGGACCTTGTGCTTGCCAGGCAAACACTTATTTCACTGAGCTATCTCCTCCACTGATCTTGAACTCACTATGTCACCCAAGCTGGCTTTGAATTTATAGTGATTCTCCTGCTTCAGCCTCCCGAGTGGTGGGATTACAGGAGTATGCTACCACACCAAGCTAACACAGAGTTTAAAAGTGTTTTTAGGGACTATAGAGTAACAGTGTTTGAAGATCAATACTGAAAGAGGATGATGCCAAGTTAATCCACAGGATTGGACTAAGGGGCAGAGAGAGAAGGAAGAGCGTGGATGGAGCAGATCGGGGAGCAGTGTGAGGGACCAGGCAGCCACTCACTAAGGAGAAGAAATTTCTCGAGCAGCACCAGCACATGCCATAGACCAGAGCAGGAGGGGCCTCACATATTTGGACCTGCCTGTCACGCAGCATAAACACAGAGCCACGGTGAGAAATCCGACGTGGGAGGAGGGAAGCCCTTCAGTTAAAAAGCCACCCAGCCTGTCAGCAATGGCATCTCCCTGGCTTCCCTTTCAGGAGTCCGTCTCCCATCCATGTCCTGTCAAATGGCCTTGAGTCCGGGGCCCTTGGGACTGAACCGGGCCTCACTCCCGTTACCTGTGAGAAGCGGCACAAATGACACATCCCAGCCTTTGTTCAGTGAGCTGTAAAAGGAGAATAGTGGTAACTTCATAGAACTGTATTAAAAATTAAATAAGAATTACCCACCTGAAGCATTTCTCACAATTGGTGCTATTATTTCTAGCACTTATATCCAGCCCTGTCTTTTTCCTGCTAACATCCTTGAACTGTTCACTTCAGTGTTTAGCATCAAAACTTGCTCAGGTTATTGGAAGCCTTCCCCATACCTGAGTCTTAGTGACACCGTCCACCCATCTTAGCCTCCAGAATTAAATGAAAGAAATAAAGTACAAGGACCATAAGCAAGTGACACCGCAGGGTTGATGCTGCACTGAAGGACCCGCTGGCCTCTGGGAGCCCTGGGAGAGCCAGGAAGCCCAGCCCGAATGCGGCTCTTCCCCGATCACTCCTTACTCTGTCTCCATGCTCTCTGCACTCCCAGCCCTGAAGCCCTGGGGTTGCCAAATATTTGAAAAACTGATTTAAAAATGGTGCAGAAAAGAGGCAACATCTCCTTTTCTGAAATGAGAGGTCTTTCTCGAGGAATAGTCAGTACCATGAAATGGAGAGGGAAGTAAACTGGTGTTGTGAAATGTGTGGTTAGCGTTGCCTCAATGACAATGTCTTTTGGACTGCTACCTTTTTTATTTTATAATAGTATTTAAGGAAATTTTTTTCCAGGTGGAGATGGGACAGTTTGGAGAGGCAGCTGTTAGCACTGAGCTCATCCTGTCTTTCTGTACTATCTCCAGGGTCCTCTCTCCTGGCAGCAGAGGCCAACCACTGTCTCAGAGATGGCTAAAAGGCCTGCAGTTGGGTATTTGTAACGTCTGATTCTGATTTTAGGGGCTGGGAGTGGAGTGTGTGCACGCACATACGCCCACATGCGTATTATTCATCTGTCTGTGTCTCTGTAGGAAGGGATCAAAGGAGGAAGGTGAGCGAAACTCATTGTATTTCTTCCATGGCCCACAGAGAATGACCAAAAATATGGAGAAGTAAGGGAAACATTTCTGATACAGTTTAGGAGTTTTAATCTATGCCACGTAACTAGTTAAACCGGACAGATGAAGAGAAATGCGATACCCAGGAAGGTTCCCATATGTCTAGTTCGGCAACTCGGTCAATAGCCATTGCATTCCCTGAGGCAGGAGTTAGGCTCAAGCTTCCTCACTCTTGTACCTGAGGTCCTGAGATGGTGGAGAGCAGAGGGATGTGGCCCAAGGGGCAGGAGAGAGCAGAGCTGGAGGAGAGAGAGGAGCTGCCCAGGTAGAACAGGCAGTGGTGAAAAAGAACAGACAGACCCTTAGGAAATTGCATCATATAAAGATAAGAAACCACAAAAGAACCGACTGAGGGTTAGCATGAAAACCTGAGAGACTATTATTTGAATAACTAATGGGAGAATGGTTTTGTAAAGGAGGACATGGTTGACTGAGTCAAATAGTAAAGAGGTCATAAAGAGGATTCATTCGGTCAGACAGTCAGTCCAAAGATTCATTCATTCAACAAAATACTGAAGGTATAATATGTGCTAAAGACTGGGCTGGGTGTTGGGGACTGAGGTAAATAGGAAATTGTCTTGTTCTGAGCAAATTTAGTTTATTGAATAAGACAGAAGAGAAAACAGGCAGTTATAGTACAGAATACAGTTAGTAAATATGTGTGTTTGGGGCTGACAGAGTGTGGCTGGGACTTTGGGACAGTCATTTACGTGAGATGAGGAGGATGGAGGCAGCTCTGGGTTAACTCTGTACACATGCACATGGTATGGGGAAGGGGTTATCTTAAAGATAGAAAGGTACAACCAACTTGGGCTTATTCAGGAAAGGGAGGGAATGGAGCTCAGAGATAAAAAAGAATTAACATGGTGTAAGCTTCCTTGGTGGGGAAGTTAGGACAGGGAAAGATGGAGTAGTGGCTTTGGGAGGAGGAAGAGGAGCCCAAAGTACAGGTGGACAAATCAGCTTTGGAGTAGGAGGTTGTCTGTCTCAGAGATGATTACCAAGAAGAGCATGGATGGGTAGATGGAAGGGTAAATGGATGGACGGATGCATGCATGCATGCATGCATAGATGCATGGATGCATGGATAGATGGGTGGATAGGTGGGTGGATGTATGGATGGATGGATGGATGGATGGATGGATGGATGGATGGATGGCTGGATGGGTGGATGGGTGGATGGCTGGATGGGTGGGTGGATGGATGGATGGATGCATGGATAGATGGTTAGATGGATGCATGGATGGATGGATGGATGGATGGATGGATGGATGGATGGATAGATGGGTGGATAGGTGGGTGGATGTATGGATAGATGGATGGGTGGATGGAGGCTGGATGGGTGGATGGCTGGATGGGTGGGTGGATGGATGGATGGGTGGGTGGATGGATGGATGGATGGCTGGATGGGTGGGTGGGTGGATGGATGGATGGATGGGTGGATGGCTGGATGGGTGGGTGGATGGGTGGATGGATGCATGGATAGATGGGTAGATGGATGCATGGATGGATGGATGGGTGGATAGATGGGTGGATAGGTGGGTCGATGCATGGATGGATGGATGGGTGGATGGATGGGTGGATGGATGGATGGATGGATGGATGGATGGATGGATGGATGGATGGGTGGATGGATGGATGGATGCATGGATAGATGGGTAGATGGATGCATGGATGGATGGATGGATGGATGGATGGATGGATGGATGGATGGATGGATAGATGGGTGGATAGGTGGGTGGATGCATGGATGGATGGATGGGTGGATGGCTGGATGGGTGGGTGGGTGGATGGATGCATGGATGCATGGATAGATGGGTAGATGGATGCATGGATGGATGGATGCATGGATAGGTGGGTGGATGGATGGATGGATGAATGGATGGGTGGATGGGTGGATAGGTAGATGGGTGGATGGATATGAATATAAACTTTCCAAACAGAATGGTAGATTTCGAAGTCCTAGAAATAATCAGTTAGTAAACAGAATTATTAGTTTCATATTTCCCTCCATTCATACAAAAAATACAGTGAGTAAAAGGATTCCTTTGAATGAGCAACCTCAAAGGCCTTTCAAAGAATCTGGTGAACTTAGCTGGAAATACTTTGATCAGCAGGCAGATGCATGGGAACTGGGTGATGAGGTTATGCTGGGAAGTATCTGATGGCCTGGGCCACGGGGCTACAGGGTAGAGGGGCTTTCTCAGAGCGGCAGCCATGAGCACAGCGAGCTGTGAAAGGTCACCCGGGCCGAGGAAACAGTACATCCTTTTCCTCCCCACAGGTTTCCTCTGTAACACCAGCGCCCAGCCCTCTGCCCTGGCTGTTTCATCGAAACTCATCCTTGAAGGTCACCAATGACATCTTTATTGTTAATTCAAATGGCCTTTCTTCTACCATGCTCTTGTCAGCCCCCACAGTCTGTTGTTTATCAAAGGCATTTCGGGGACAGTTGGTACCATTGACCTCTTCTCGAAACCGACCCTTTCCCCTGGATTCCATGACACTGCACAACTGTTATTTCCCTCTGCCCTGTGAGGCAAGGGTAATTCCTGGAGGGTGGAAAAGTCATGCTGACAGCACAAGGCAGGAAGGGATGGACCGCTAGGAGCCTTGCCCAGCTCTGACAAAGGCCAAGGGAGTGGCAAAGCTGACATCTGTCCTGCTGCACTCCACTCACAGCTCGGTGCTTTTCTTGCAATCCTGGAAATGTGCCAGCCACACTCTTGCCTCTGCTCTTTCCTCCGGCTGTGTGCTCTTCCCTCTGGTACCCTCAGAGCTCAGTCTTTCTGTTCTATATCACATGTTTATTATGTTGTTGCTGTTATTATTTTTCTTTTTAAGACAGGCTTTCACTATGTAGTTCAGGATGGCCTTGACTTCACAGTAATCCTCCTGCCTCAGCCTCTCAAGTGCTGGGATTACAAGTGTGTGTCACAACGCCAAGTCTACTTTGTTATTTTTGAGAATATCCAATTCTTCCCTAAAAGATGAGCTTAACAGGACAGATGAAACTTCTCAGATATATGAAATGTACATGATCATGACAGAAACATCTAATGTTACAGGCAGAATCATCAAGAGTTTGTCTCTGTAAAGAAAGGCATAGAAGGAGCAAGTGTTGAGATAGGGATCATGTCCCCTTCAGGCGACACCTAGGTAACCCCAGACTAGTCACCCATGGGTGCTCTGTCTAGGGGAACCAGAAACAACTCAGAGCTACCCAACAATACCTGATCCACTGCTTTCAGCCAGAGCTTGTGTGTGTGTGTGTGTGTGTGTGTGTGTGTGTGTGCACATGTGCGCAGATAGCAACAACACACAACCCAGGATTCCTGTAGGGGTCTTCTACATGTTTACTCATGGTCTTAAATGTTAATCTGCATCATCTCTTGCTTCTTGTTCCTCCTCATGTGCTTCAGGTTGGGTTGGGCATGAGTATGATTGGACATCCTGATTCGCTCAGTACACTTCTCTGTGGTCCATAAGAGAACAGGACACCTGGTGCTGCACCCAGAGCTCTATATCGCATGAGGGTCATTTCCCACTACAGCCTCCTTGAAGTCTTCGCTCAAACATCACTTTCTCAGCAAGAGTTTTGCTGAATACCTATTTTAATTCACAACCCACCACCACTGCTAGCCAGTGTCTCCCCCCCCCCACTTTTTTTGCCTTAGCAGATATCATTTCCCAACATGTGCAGCACAGTCCTGTTCATTAGGTCCATTGCTCACTGTCGGCTTCTCCTTTAAGAACAGAGGCATCGTGGGTATTATTGATCCATTCTGTTCAGTGACAGCCACACTCCTAGGACAGTTCCTGGCACGTTGGAGGCACTCCAATGTTTGCTGTCAGATGTCAATATCAGCAGCCCGAGCCAGGGACATGGCACAAGCACTGGGGAGTGCACCGTTTATAGAAACATGAAAATCAGTGTCAGTGCCACGTTGAGCAAACAACAGCAGTGAAAAGTTGAAAGTACAAAGGCACAGGCAAGGGCTGCAGGAGTGAAGCAGAAC